TTTTATATAAGGATTGATAACTCCAGTAACGATTATATTTTTCAAGATATACTATGTTTTATTTTATATAAGGATTGATAACTCCAGTAACGATTATATTTTTCAGGATATACTATGTTTCATTTTATATAAGGATTGATAACTCCAGTAACGATTATATTTTTCAGGATATACTATGTTTCATTTTATATAAGGATTGATAACTCCAGTAACGATTATTGTTGATTTTGTGATTTAATATTTCACTTATTCCTAGCAAATAATAAGTTACAATTGTTGTTGGTTTTCAAGGGACTTGATATGTCTGTTGTTCAAAAACAATACAATCCACCAATTTAACACATTGCATGGTAGTTCGGTCAACTGGAGAGGGTTAAAAATAAGAATTTCAGGTATTATATTATTCTGTTAACACTAACATAAAGCCTTTGATAAGTTTGAATGTAAGTGGAAAGGTTCATTAGACACCTTGTTCAGTAGTTATACCGCACTACGTTTAAATTCCATTAAGTAAGAGCAACGTATAGTAATATAGAGAAATATGATAACATTCAATAAAATAGATATAATTTAATGATTTCTTATCAAGAAGGCAATAACACAGATTAATTATGTGTGGATTTAATATTATGCATTTAATCTTTGACAAGAACATAGATTAAGTGATTTGACAGTTGGTTTGACGAATACTCGAAAAAAGGGTGCAAAGTGTAACAAGTTGTTAGTTCCCTAATAATGAAAATTAAAAATACTTCTAAAATCAAGAAATTGTAAAAAGAAAATTAGCGAAGTTTCTAATGTATGCAGAATCTTCGCTCACACAATTTAACGTATCTCTATGCCATTTAGAACATAGACATGCAATGATACGAGAGACTTTCTTGCATATTGTGGATCCTAATTTACATTACGGTACTTTTCTGGCGAATATTTTACGGAAGATGAGTGAACCAAGAGATCTAATGAAAGTGCATGGTGCAGTGATAAACAACATTAACGGTCTATACCAACCTTGGAAAGTTTTTCTGAAGCCATATGCTTATCCTCGAAAGAAGTTTTAGATCTCTCACTGCTCCCCTGTGGGTCAAAAGTCACATCGGTTTGCTGGTTTTGGTTCTTGTCGAGTGGTTTTATAAATGAACGTGATAAAATAACAGGAAGATTAATGATTGGGTTTATGGGCTTTGTGGACTTTCCATTAGTTGGTCGAAGGCTCTTGATATTCAAATGTTTAAAGTTTCGTGGACGAGGTAAATTAGTCTCTGAACTGATCGTGGATGTGGAAGGAGTGTCGTTTCTGACGTCATGGTGAATATTCTGGTAAACGTGTTTGAAATTAGTTGGTAATGATGTACGCATGCGTGCTGCGGGGATAGGTGAATTTAAGGGCTGAAATGAATATAATTATATAGCTTAAAATAATCATTTATCTGTCATTTAAAGATCAAACACATATAAAAAGTGAAAACTTAAGAAAGCAAAATAATAAAAATAATATAAAAAGGCTTAGTCATTCTGATTATTACGTATAGGTTGTGTTTTGTTATATATGTTTTGAAACTTTCATACTACATTTTAATATATCAAAGTATAAAAACCTCATACACAGAACATTTGCCCTTTTTTTACGAAACTCATTTTTCCATCAAAGCACGATATTTCAGGATTTGTAAAGATGAGCTTGATTGTTGAAAAACAAACATGCCCTAAAGAAATCAAACAAAAACATCATATACCAAACACTACCAACTGGGACAAATGAGAAAATTTGCCCCTAGAAAACAAGTTTATGAAAGGTTAACTAACTTCTGTATAGTTTAGATGCATAGCACAACCATCAAATTTATTCTTCACTCGAAAGAGAAAAGCTTGTAAAACAACAGCAGGCTGAAATGTTCCTCCATCATTCAGCTCGATATCACGACTGTGGTACACAAGGGGCAAATGAACGTTTACCAACTCGTATAATCTCTAAGTTCGTTTGCCTCAACTTACCCCCTTGGGTTCTCTTTGGTGAAATGTCATATTCTCATACATCGGCCTGCATTCTTGTTCAACCACGTGGGATCCACTTTCCTTTCTGCCTACTGCTGTGACGTTTTGATAGACTGGGTCACCATCTGAGTTGACTTTATTGGGACTACCAGAATCTGTTAAATAGAATACACATTTTTTGGCAAAACTTTTGTACGTCATTTCTAAAGACGAGGCAATTCAATGCAAATTAAGCAAATTATTAACTCAGTCCCATTCAAACTCGTACTTTTCATAGAGAGCATTTACAGAGCCCGGTAGTTTCATGTTGTTTTTTTACCCACAAATTATACATCTCGTCATAAATTGATCTTCATAATCAGCTTAGTTTCATGAGTTACAAGTAGTACCAATGTTACTAAAGTACTAAACTCAAACACAGAATGCAAAAATATATACAAATATTTGGGAAGAAATGTTTAAATTATCTTAATGAGAATTCACAGTATACCAGACTTTTAAGCATAAGACGATCTGAATTCTAACAGGTTTCAAATATTTCCATTATTTGCATGAATTAATTTAAGTGGTTGATGCACACTAACAAGTAATTTGCAAAAGTATTTTCTATTCCACAACCAGTGCATTGTTACGGATAAATAGATACCTACTACTTCCTACATAATTTTCATTACTTAATGTGGTGAAAAATAAGATTTTTTATTTCAAACCAGAGCTAAAAGATTCTAAACATTAGTCCGTCTACGTCGCACAGCTATGCAAAGAGCAAAACCACGTTGTATCAAATAACATTCATTTCACCACTTCCTTCTATATGACAGTAGCCACCTGTCCTGCATTACTAGCCTGAAACTTGTCATGATAATATGGATTAATTCATCCTTATTCCAAACTGATAAAATACTAGCCTGTTTGATCCATACATATGTGACAAAAGCTAGTATTGAATTCGTCATGATAATATGGATTAAGTCACTTCTTATTTCAGACTGATACAATAATATCCAGGTTGATCCACACACACATGTGATAAAAGATAGTATTAAGTCGCTACTTGGTATCAGTTTTGATGTTCTCAACACGTACCATGTCGCCTGGTATGAATCATTCAGAGAATGTGCACTCTGGTAAAAGGTCAGTAACGTATTAATTGTACCGAAGAAAAATTACATGTCGTCAAGAGTGCGAAAACCTCATTTGTTTTACGAAGGTTTCTCTAGTTGGTAATATACAACTTTGTTTTTCCAAGCATTTGACCTTAATCTGTCATTCGAAGAAACTGCACTAGGCATTTTTCAGTATATATGAACATTGATACGTATTTTACTATCGTATATAAAAAAAACAGTTGAATAAAAACTAGCTAAATAAATATCGTCATCAGACGCTACTTATTTTCTCTCCGTATGAGATCCTGAAGACAAACTTTGAAATACAATATTTTGTTTATCATTTTATTATTGTAGAATGATAAGATACAGAAAAAGTACTTGTAATCAGCTACAGCTTATTAAACAAAGGAAGAAATTAAACTAAAATGTTTTAAGAAATGTGCTAATGTTGAATTTATATTTAATTCTAATCAGGTTTCAAAAAGACAGTGTTTGAGAAAAAAGCTTACATTGATTTAAATGTAAACTAAAATATGTAAATCGACTATGGTAAATTATAAAAATAATCTAATTGTACTCTTAAACTATACATTCTAACTTATTTATAAATACAAATTACGTAAAGATTAAGCTCATCGTAATACTTTAATTTTTTAAAGGTTTAAAATTGTACTCCAGATCAAAAGGTTTTGGAAATAGTTTGATTGGTTTGTTTGCAGATGTATAACGCAAGACATACATAAAATTACAACGCTAAAATTTTTAATATGCGAATCAGCAAATCATTTGACAACCACAGTGGATATAAAGTCGCGGTGAAACGTCATGTATCAGAACGACACTTTAAAATCGTTTGCCCTTACATAGGTAGTGTAATGCAGCCGACATTTATAGTTTTGTGGCAGTTATGTAACAGTATTTTCCGATGCAAAATATTCACACATTCAGATGATAAAGACGTGTACAGATCAGGAATTTAGAATTTCCAAGACGGGATATTCCTCGCACTTAGTGCGTTGGAAAGCAAAATAATACGTATTAAGATGGGGCACCAGGACCATCCAGAAAGAGACCTGCAACAAATCTTATCCCAGCTGTGGTAAAATATAAAAAAAATGCTGCATCTTGTTAGAGGTATTCCATAACAAAGCATACCTATGGATTTCTGTGTAATTGGACTGGTGAAACGGTCACTGTTAAAACCGTCGTCCTCGTACACTACATGGATTACAGAAAGCCAGCAGGGATGAGTGTTGTGCTTTTAACACAGAAGCCTTACAACGTAGCCTTTTGCAATGGAAACTAGGCTACAGGGCTATTATCAAGAAGCACGGTCGTCAGATATAACATGATCGGACACGGCGACATGGGCTGTAACGACATGATAAGACTGCAGAATCGTTTTAATGTAACTTAACCCCTTATATATGGTAACTCAGAATTTCGTCACCTGTTACAATTAACATAAAAGTAATGATGATACTGGTGAATCTTTAAGTCTTTTCTTCCGTTCACTACCAAAGGTTCCAAATAATACATCATATTGAGTATTCTTATGCTTTTACGTGTTACAACACCCACTATAAAAAACTGATCAAAAACATTGGAAAGAACACTTATTTTCTAGGTAAAATGTATTGGGGTTCCTGGCAGTAATTCGTAATTAATCGGAATAGTGATAGTATTTTTCTTAAATAATTTTTGTCCAACTCGTATATTACTAGTGACCTTTAAATCAACAAAGTCGAGAATCCACTGGCAAATTAATACATAAATATCTTAGAAAATAGTGTTTAAGAATTCTATGGTACCTCATCGATAATTCAATACATAGGGTTGGTTATAAATTACTGTAATGAGGTTGGTTAATAAACAGAAGATTGTTAAAAAGTCTTTTCTCAACCACAACTAAAATTTCCTCTTTTCACTCCAAAACAATCATTCAACCATATACTCTACACAAAATGTAGCAATTCATAAAGCACAGAAATCAAATGATCCAGAAAAACACGCACAAAGTTGTAAATAAAATTATATGTTTTTCTGAAGAAATGAAGAAATAATTGAACCTTAGAAGGATTCGAACCTAGTATTTTTGCTATTTTACTCAAAATCCATTAAACGAAAACAGTAACTAAAATGCTGTCTTAGGTAATTAAGGTTACTTGAGTGGTTTTCCTCCCCCCGGTGGTTCAACTATAAGTTTAAGGGGTTAAAGCGCTAAAATTGGGTTTGATACCCGAGGTTGGCAGAGCAAAGATAACCCAAATTCCTAGTTAAGCAATGTATATACGAATTATTCAAGTAATTTTATTTCTCTGTCGTTAAGCACAAAGCTACACAAAGCCATTTATGTCACGTAATTAGATAACATTATTCTTTAGTTCATAGCCCTCTAGTGGCTTAGCGATAAGTCAGCAGCTTTATGACGCTAAAAATCGGGTTTTGGTACCCGAGTTGAGAAGTGCTCAAATAGCCCATTGTGTAGTTTTATGCTTATTAACATCAAAACCAACACCAAACTTTAACTCGTGAGAGGTGAAATTATTTTCAACAATACAAGTCTGGTATTGAAAAATCATAATTAAATAAGTACCTGGCCTGCTATATTTTGCTTGATGTAATCTCATGAACAAAGAAAACACATACGTTTCTGGTGTTTTATGGGAAGAGCTGTATTTAATCCTAGTACAATAAACATTCTTGGATCTTCGACGATATTACATTTATTAACTATTTACAGATCTGTTTGTTTGGAATTAAGCACAAAGTTACACAATGGGCTATCTGTGCTCTGCCCACCACGGATATCGAAACCCGGTTTCTAGCGTTGTAAGTCCGCAGACATACCGCTGCGCCACTGGGTGACTATAGATCTGTCTTTCCACTTTAAATTCATGTGCACCAAACTTCACCTTGAATAATATACTTTTCATTGCATTTTCTATATTTTTTGACTCCTCAAATATTTTCTTAGATTTTTAAAGTTTCAGTTAAAAAGAAACCAAGATAAGAAAATAGAGACGCATAATAAAACATCTTTTGAATAAGCTAATTAAAACAAACAAACTAAAAGTGCAAAGATTTTACACGTCCTGGATGCAATTCCAAATATCGATATACCATTTGTTACGTTTTATGTACTTTTTATGAGATTACAAGACTGTTTCGGCGTACTTCCCACGTGCTAACCGCCTTGAAAACACACTACCTGGATTAATCATTGGATACTTTACTATTTTGATTACTGCATCCATTTCGAATGTCAGTACTATATAACTTTCTGTAACTGTTGCCTGTTGGTGAAAATAAGTACAGTTTGTCGGAGCTGTCCAAATATTTGAAATTACACAAATAATGGAAGTTTATTTTGATACATCTACGTTCGTTTTGAGAAGATTGTAACCACGCTATAAGAAAACTGCTATATACCCTTGATAGTCTAAAGAGAGACGCGTATGGTCAACTACGCCATGCAATGACCACTATTTGCATAACATAATTACAAGGACGTAATGTGGACTTTAGGATAATAATTAAAGCATTATCAGTGACTAATCGGCTTCATGAGTCTTCCTCATTATTGTGAAGACCTATTTGCTTCAGCCTTGCAAGTAACTCCACAGTTGGTTTGAACTTTGGTGAGATCACCAAACTGGCAGCAATTCTACTTACTATCCAAGTGTGTTATTATTTACAGATAAGTTCATATGGTCGACCACACCTTTCGTTAAATATACTGATTTGGTATAAGCCAGTAGTACGTCTTTTCGTGGGTTCAATCAGATCAGAATTTGCTTTTATACAGAATTATGTTTAACAACAACAAAAAACAAAAACAGAACTGGAGGCCAACAGAAAGCCTTGATCTAAATCCCCTAGAATATCTCCTGGACTTCCTTTAATAATGCAACATCAAAAGGAATATTGCTATACTGAATAAAAGTATGCCGTACAGATGCAGATTCTGAATCAATATTTACAAAGGTAATGCTTGTTACTGAGCATTTCGTTTTTGTAAAATATGCCTCTTTCATCCAGTCTGATTCAGCCAGATCCTAACTCTTCCCACTCTGAATATGAAGGCACTGGTTTATTTACCTTTTTATTGTCAAGAAAACGCATCCCTTAACTGTACTGATTGAACATACGCATATACTAAGTTTCAACTTTTCTGTTACTTGGCTGAAAACCCTGCACTTCTATTTTCGTCGATTAGCTTATAAATATATTAAGTGTTGTTTTTGTTATTCTTCTGGGAAGTAATTATGTGTTTTATTAATTTTCTCTCATTTTCTCTAAGTATTATTTTCCTCATTATCTTTTCTTATAACAGAGGTTAATAAACTGTGGTATATTTTTACGAAACGCTCTGTTTTTAGAAGAAGAAAAAAACATAAATGAGTTACTAATTACCGGTATACCACCGATTAATTTTGTTAAATAGAAGTGGCTATTAGTACTGTATAACAACTATCTTCAAATTGTCATCTCAAAGAGTAATAGTGCAACTATGAATAACAGAATCTACACATCGTTATATAAATATTGCAAATCAACCAAAAAACATATATTGCATTATAAGAATGGTTTGTTAGGTATATCGGTTAAGAAATAGATACAGTTCCCTCCATATGAACTCCATTACCAAGCACGAGGGCTCTAAATGAGTACAAGAGTGTGTATATATATATATCGAAATTACAAATTATATCTAACAGACGAGAGAACGGCATTAACTATGTACGTCTATGTAATTAGGTAAGGAGACTCCAATAGTCTGTTGAGACGTATGCTCGACCTTAGGTAATTAGCAGCAGAAGATATTTCGGCCTAGATTCAGACAAATCAAAATATTGAGGTTCAGAAATAGCTGGCAGCCATTATCCATCGAATATCTTTAACGCTTCTTTTAAAATTTTTGGTTGCTGTTGTTATTGTGTAGTTTCTCTCCGATTTATCTTATTTTATCTCATTATTTTATATTATTTTTCTTTGTTCGTACAATTACAACTTATTAAATGAATACAAACCTGTGTTTTCGTTTTTCAGGTTTGGACTTCCGTTTGTATTAAACGAGTTGCGAAAGCCAGGTTTGGGAACAGGCGTAGCTTCTGTGGGTTGCACTCTACCCTCTGGTCTACAGTAAAAACAAAAACTCATGCAAAGCCGTGTACAGGGATATCTACCGTAATAACCAACCTGAAAACATGCTATAGTTATTCCTCGATGTAACAGAGCCAGAAAGGTTAGAACACATATCACAACATGCAAGAAATATTCAATCGCACACACGTCCCAATAATACACCAAAATATGCTAAAATTGTTTGTATTTTTTTTCTACACATACAAAGAAAGCATTTTTCTACCTTTCGGAAATTAACACTTTACCACGATTGGCTTAGAAAAATTGTTAGCTACCAACTGCTCTAAGAGCTTTAGAATAATTATATTTTTCGATATTTTCTAAACCTACCACTATGAACAACAGAGTAATAAATTACTCAGAAAGCCTGACGTTAGATAACATTAGTTATTTGTCTCTGAGAAAAGGTGGTTACCATTTTTATAACTGGAATATTTACACTCCAAGTCATTTCTCAGTAGTTCAACGTTTAAGTACTGTATTTTTTAAATTAAAGTTAAAGTTTATAGAAAATAAAATCGTCTACTTATGATTATTTTTACACGTTTGATATCTTACAGCCACGGAAAACGCTCGTTACAAATAAAAATCGGTAAGACATACATATTAGGCTAAATCTTCCTCACAGTGAGATTGGAAATCATTTAATGTTTGGATCATAGATCCATTTCGCATTAAGTCTATTAAGTTTCTGACTTCAGTTTTGATATTAAAACATATAATCAATATAACTCATGCCTAAATAAAATTTATTGTTATCCTACACCAATCTGTATTATAAAAAATACACATTAAATTACTATATTGTAAAATCTAAAGAATTATAGTATCGTACTACCTATTACCATTACTTTTGAATAAAAATAGTATATCATCTCGTTTATCTTTATATTTAGTGCCAAAAAATGTTTTAAAACTTCTAGCTTTTGTTAAATTGAATTAAAAGATGGTGTATTTTTAAGAGACGTTACAATGCTGAGCCTTTCTCAAAAGATTTTGCCACATGTATGCACCACAAATACTAAGTGATACTACTTTTAACCACAGGAAATGATTTTCCAATAGGAAAACAGTTTAAATTTACATGTTCTAAAAGTGTGTCGTCGTTAATCGTTATTTCCTATTAAGACACGTGGTGTAAACAAAGTTAATATCATTCGGTACAACTAGAAGAACCCACCTTTTAATCCGTTTCACATCCAACTAGAAACTTGTAGCATATGTTGTAGATAAGCAATGCGTGACTTAAACATATCTCATTGTCCGAAGACATGCGAGAGCATTAAATCCTAAAATTTGAAATTGTGTTGGTATAATGTACTTACGTTTCCCTTTCTTCCAGTGTGCCTTTCGGACCGGCTGTAAATATCACACAACCACCTCCGTTATAATATTTTCCATCCTAATACACATATCTATGCAACACTTAAAACTTAATAATTACGAAGCACGTTTATACAATGAACAAATGATTTCATTTTCTCTATTATCTAAATATGTTATCGAGATGAACTATAAAATGGGACTTTTTGTAGTTTAGTCTATCGCACAACTCGTTTCTAAAACTAATTGAAGCGTAATCATTTTACCGATCTTTCACATGAGGTAACATTATACACGCGTAGCATGAGGTACGCTGCACACGATAAAGACATTTTGACGAGAAACTTACTAAAACTAAAACTATGTTTAAATAGCATTAAGAGTAAACCAACAATATTCAACATCACCAAAGTTTAGTAAAGCGTGTGTTTAAAACGTCCAACTTTAAGTTTCTGAGTAAGTATTTTCTTTAGCACATAACTAAGTTTGATTTGGCTATATTTTGTTTAAAAGATAAAAAAAAGTATTTGTTAATAACATAGAATATTTATGTAAATATACTTTGAATAAAAAATGTTTAACATTCTGAAATTATAAAGTATTATACTATATACGTTACACTATTTGATTATCTTGAATTATTATTATTATGGAATTTATCTTCTGTGATCCTGTGTAGACGCAACTCAGCCTCATTCATCACAACGAAACTGTCTTCAAGAATTATTCACAAGGATGATGCGTTTCATCACATTCCATTATAATATCATTACGATATCATTACTAAGCTGTTACATTTTCGGATTTAGAGTTTTAAAGATTGCACATGGTTCACTGTTAGACAAGATTACAATAAATTTTCTAACGAGAATGCTTAGTCAACTACAAAACATAATTGTTACCTGCTTTGAGTTATCAATCGATAGTTGAATTAAATTTTATCCTAAGAGAACACAATGTTTTATTTCAGTTTAAATTCAATCCATATAGTCGTTCTTAGAAAGACAAAAGGAGAAGAAGCTTTCTAAAACAAGACAAAACGTTATCGTTTTCCCACTTGCTTTAAAACGGATGATTTTATCTCTTTTCTGCTTACATCGGGTCTTCCACTAAACGATCTGTTGTTCATAGCATATTCAACCTTAACGTCGGCTCTGTTGTTTCCAATGGTGGTTCTAACTAGTTTCACGTTATATTGGCATTTTCTATTTATGGCGAAGCTACTGAGGCTATCTGACTAGAGATAAGGCAACAAGCAGCAGTTTACCACCCACCATCTACTCTAAGGGAATGGCTCTCACTCTTATAACCCGCCCACAGCTTACAATTCGGGGAATATTTTGTGGTGTGACACAGATTCGAAGTCGGCTTGCCGGCTCTGCAATCCAGGACCAAATCACGCCCCGTTCTTAATCAGTATTCCAAACGATACTCAACTTCTTTAGGTTAAAGATATTAATTAAAAACTTGGAAAATATACGATAAAAGTAATCGCTACTGGGAGTAATGACCGTGTAGCATAAGATAAAAACTTCATTACAAGTAACACGTTCATATCTAATAACCAAATATGAACTTACAGACAAAAAGATATATAGATTAAGTAAATCAATGTATATAAATCTATTACCAAGTAAGTAATCGAAGGTAATTCTCTTCTTAAAGGTAAATCTATATATATATATATATATATGCACTCAGGTTGTGGTAGTTTTTTAAACTAAAAATGTTCTTTTTCACACTTTAGTTAATTAAAGTATCCTATATTAATTCTTGTTGTGTGAATTCGTTTGTTTGTTTGTCCGTGCACTCCTTCCACGGTTTTGAGCTAGTAGAACCAAACTTGGCAGGCGGACTTGGAATGGCACGGGAGGTATCATTATTTATATGATGTAGTGCCCTTAGGAAGGGGAACGAAGCTAAAACGCATCCGGGTGGTCAGCCAGGAATATTGGGGATCTAGGAGTTGGTTCTCAGAATCGATAAACTCGAACCTGGTATCGGATTTTGTGTTACTAGCCCTTCTTTTTATCCCGGGGACGCCATTTTTGAAACTGTGCTCATATATAGAAGGGTATATAGAGGGATGACACAGATACTTGTATAAATTGGTATGAGTTAGTTGTTTTCACCTCTATATACATTACGTAGAATAGTCAGTGATATATGCAACTTGGGACCATGGTACATCGCACTGGGACCTATATTGTGATTTGAAAGTGCGATATAATATAATTATTTATGTCTTTATCCTGCGTGGACGTGTTTTATAAGCTCTTTCTCCAGCCCCAGCAACCAGAATATGCCACAATGGAAAGTTATAAGCAAGCCAGTATGTAAAATACACCCAAAACACTCTTATTGTGAATAAGGATTTTGAATATTTGTTCTCTGTATTTCTTTCCTTTTTCTGTCAGTGATCGACTTATTTCTTGTGTAACACTTCTGGAATATGCGTTTAGAATCAGCTTCTCTGTACAACAAAACGTTCGTAAGAACAGCTTCAGTTTGTTTTAATAAAATAAAAATGTTATTTCCACCACCCAATGAGAACACGTGAAAAGAGTTAATGACGTAACATAACATATGATAAGGAGGATTAAAATTATCATTATCATGAAATATTATGACGATTCACAGTTCATTCCCTTATACTTTTCTGCTAGTTAGCTATTTAGTTATATTAAACATCTGTAATAGTAAAATAAAAGTATCTAAACAGAGGGAGTTCAAGGTTCTTATAACTAATGCTAAGAACATCATTCAATTTTAATGGGATTATATTTATCCAAAGTTATATCAGTATATTCATTGATTTAACAAAATACCAAACAGTGAAATATAATTAATATACGCACTGTGAGTTCTTCTTCTTTTTATTAATATGATGATAACAATAATTACGATGATAAATATAACAGTAACAGCAGTAACAACAGCAGCAGTGATAACCACATTTTCATCACCAAAGTCTAGTCCCCAGCCTGCTGTACCTGAGGAATTAAAATATAGATGTTCAATAACCTTGCATTGAACTAACGTTTCAAACACCAATAACTAGTTTTAAACTTTATTTTTCAGAACAAAAAATGCATTGTATAACGTTTTATTTAAAAAATCTCTTGTATGCTTTATCTATGTGTTTGTTTCATATCTCTAATGCATACCACAATATATTTAATAGAAAAATCTTATACACTTTATCTGTGTGTATGTGTTTAATATCTCTAATGCATACCATAATATATTTAATAGAAAACTCTTTATACACTTTATCTATGTGTGTGTTTCATATCTCTAATGCATACCATAATATATTTAACAGAAAACTCTTATACACTTTATCTGTGTGTGTGTGTGTGTTTCATATCTCTAATACATACCATAATGTATTTCATATAAAACGTTTTATACACTTTATCTGTGTGTGTGTGTGTGTTTCATATCTCTAATACATACCATAATGTATTTCATATAAAACGTTTTATACACTTTATCTGTGTGTGTGTTTCATATCTCTAATGCATACCACTATATATATATATAATATAAAACTCTTTATACACACTTTATCTGTATGTGTTTCATATCTCTAATGCATGCCACTATATATCTAATAGAAAACTCTTTATACACTTTATCTATGTGTGTGTTTCATATCTCTAATGCATAACATTATATATTTAATAGAAAACTCTTTATACACTTTATCTATGTGTGTGTTTCATATCTCTAATGCATGCCACTATATATTTAATAGAAAACTCTTTATACACTCTATCTGTGTGTGTGTTTCATATCTCTAATGCATACCATTATATATTTAATAGAAAAATCTTTATACACTTTATCTATGTGTGTGTTTCATATCTCTAATGCATACCACTATATATCTAATACTTCACAATGGTAGCTTTGAACTAAGATGCAGCAGCCAACTAACAACTGGGAATTTGGATAATAGTGCATTATCACCTGGTTTATTCTCAGAGAGATATAAACAAGATAAGCTGTCCTTACCAGTTTTAGCTTAATGCTTTATGCTATGAAAAATGCATGAACTGATAGCAGCGCTCCTGTGTCCTCGTCTCAAAACTGCAATGAATACAGAAAACGACACCCTAAACGAATTTCTTAGAAGCATAACTGCAGTAAAAACGGTCCATTTAAATACTGCAGTAAAAATGATCCATTTAAATGTTCAGATAGATGTATAGTACGTTGTGCAATAAAATATGACTACAAAGCATCCATTTTATTTACATAATGTCATTTTTACTTTCAAAAAATTTTGTTTTTGCTACTTTCTTTCTAGAATGATATTTTCCTTCAAACGCCAAGTGATACTGCAGACTGAATATTTTCCTTACAATTTCAAAATTTACTTAACTGTTTACATTTTTATACATAACAATACTAATGTTCAAACTAAAGAAAGGAATTTCATAGAAGAAATTCTATACTCAATATAAAATAAATTGAAGCAAATTGAGTTTTAAGACTTACACAACTGTTCATATTTCTAACCTTCTCTGTGTAAATTACTGTAGTTTTAAAATTTCCATGACAACAAAACAAAATGATATGATATTATAGATCAAATTCTGTAGGTAATTTAACCGTCCTTCTTCTGTTTATGTAACAGACCAATAAATCTTCATTTTAGTTCCCCCCACTTCTGTGGCTCAAAGATAAGTCTGCAGGTTTCCGACGCTTTTAAACCGGGTTTCGATACCCTTTGTGCTTAACAATGACCAAACCATTGTAGTATTTTATTTTAAAAAACTTAACAATGATTGTATATCATTTCTAAATTATCTATTATACACGTGTTTATTTATTCACAGTTAAAGTGCATAAGATTTTTATACATAAAAATATAGACGGGATGTAGAACAATTTGATTGATGATATTTTTGTAAGTGTCGGCAGAAAGAATGTGAAGATGGAAGTCTCGAATTACACCTAAATCTTAGTAATACAAATTAATACAACACTATGCTCTCCATCATATCCAATGAAAACACACGGTTTCCCATCACGTGTCTACACATCTTTTACATTTATTCTTAGATACGTCTACAAAGGTATCAAAAGGAATTTTCTGACTGTTTATCAGGTGTACATTCTAGTCGTTAGTTTTTTGTAAATGTGGTTCTAACCTTGACTTATGTTAAAAACAATCCTCTAAATCTGATAATACTCTCTAATATTAACACCAAATCTTCAACGGATAAAGGTATTATTCAAACACAATAAAATACATATGTAGCATATCTTTAACGTGATATCGTATAATGCAAAGCTGTTTCATATTCCACTGCTCACTGAATGAAAAATGAACTTTTAAAGAAAACCAGCATTTCAAAACTTGATGCTTGTGGTTTTTGAGTATTCTTACTGCGGACACTTGAAACTGGGATAATTAATCACCACTACTTTCTCAAGTTGAATTAAGTGCTAGAGTTGACTTACCAACCACTCCTGTAAGTTCTAAAGTACAAGGAATGGACTCTCCTACTCTGTTGTTCACAATACAATAATACTTTCCATAGTGTTCTGAAACAGAGTCTCCCAACGTTAGAATACTTGTAGTTCTTTCCGTTACAATAAACTTCTCCAGAGTTTCGTTGTTCTTAATCCAAGTGAAGTTCACAGATGTAGGATTTGCTTGAGCATTGCAAACCAGAGTGGCTTCTTTATTTTCATTTCTGTCCTTGTAAATGTTACATTCTGGTTTATCTGGAAAAAAAATACTCTGTGAAAAGTAGCTTAATTTATGTGAGGTTTGTACTAATGATTTATTGTGAAAACCGAAGTTTCATTTTTATACTCATTCTTCTCTACAGTTCATATCTATTCATTTCATGATTCATTTTTTTAGTGATAATACAATATAAATTTTCTACGTTTCTATCCAACCCTCTCCATGGGGAACAAAGTTGTGTAATAAGTAAAGAAAAAAATACTTTTATCACATTTCAGACTTTTGATCAGTAGGTTTGTGTAAACTTTCCGCTTGTGGAAAATAAAACCAATCAACATCATGTTACAATTCTAATCCGATTGAGGAGTTAGTAAGTGAAGGCAGATCAAGCTATGTCACGACCTAAACACTTGAGTATGGAGAGGTAAATATCGAATTTTCTACACTAAGTGTTCAGTAGACGAAGTATAAATATACCGAAATACTTGAAAGTAACATTTTTACAAACGTAACGGTATTACTCACTAAAGTAATAAGAAAAACGTTTCTAAACTTTCTACAAATTTGGATCGAATTGAGTCTTCAATATTCTATGTAAATGAGCGTCGGACAATTCCAGTAACTTTAAAAACGTATTCATTATACTATCAAAAGGGGAAAAACAAGACACCTTAAACGCTACACAATCTTAAAAGGTGTATTTACTTACACAAAACGTTAATAAAAGCTTTGGCCTTTGCACTGCCGTGCTGGTTACTAGCCACACATAAGTAGCTTCCTGCTTTCGAGCGGGAAATGATGTCATTAAGGAAAAGCTGTGAAGAGTTAGCAATAATTTTATTGGAGAATTTCCACGTGTACTGACTTGGAGGCCAGGAGTTCGCTGAGCAGTTAATTTTCTCTGGAATTTCTCCCTCCACAACTTCTAGTTGGCTGGCAGATAGCGATATGTTCTCGGGAGGAACTGAAAGTAGAAGTCGTAAAATTATGTTTATATATATATATATATATTATTATATATACCATCGAGAGTAAAATAGAATTACTGAATAGTGCTTTCGATGTTAAGTCAAAAATAAATTATTTTATTTGTAAAGTCCTTAAAATGTTTACAACATTTTGGAACTTGTAAATATCTAATAATAATAAAAGAACGAAGATTGTAGAATGCAAATTAATCGCCTGATACCCAAACTGTACTGTTTATTAGGCCTCGTACCAAACTGTTTAGAAGACGACCCCTTGAATCACTCCTTAATTAGTACTGAGTGTTGTTAGGCATCAGACTTAAACTGAGTACTACGTTAGTCATGTGTGAGCTTGTAAATGTTAAATGTATAAACGCTTTAAATATATTTATCAAATTTTACAAGCTTCGTGGCAGCGTCTACACACACACGCGCGCATTTACTTTTAAAATCTATCGAATAATATGTGATGAAAAAACTAAATACGTATATGGTTTGAATTTCCCGGAAAATATAGCTTAGTTTATTCATACGGCTTATAACGTAAAGTAATTTTCCTTTTTATGCTATTTTTGAGACCAGAAGGAAGATGGTATAATTTACATTTTTAAACACTTTTCAGTGATATTCAATCTTGTCTAGGATGGACGCATCTCACCGAGTAAACTTTTACGAAACCTCATTATTTTAAGACTGTACTAGAAGTAAACTGGATTATCTTTTGTAGTTCGTTCAGTCTATACAGTGTAACGTGACAGGAATGTGAAAATAGATTAGTGTAATGCTAGAAATTTGTTGTCAGTGGCTAGGCAAATGTAGAAATCTTGTTCCATGTAGATGTTCTACGACACAGAAAATACTAGTTCAGTTCTGTTTATGGAAGATATATGTGTGACATTGTTCACATATCACATTCAATAAGTTATATTTTAAACATACTAAATTAGCATTACAGTAAGATGGGAAGATTAAAAGAACGAAATGTATTTTAACATATTAAATATAAAATTCCCAGTTCTTGTATTTTCTTTTGTCCCCCGGGGGGGATAGCTGTAAGTCTTCGGATTTACAATGCTAAAATCAGAGGTTTGATTCTCCTCAGTGGACACAGCAGATAGCCTGGGGTGGCTTTGCTACAATGAAATACACACACAATTTACTGTATTTTCTTTCCAAAAGAAATAGTTTATAGAACAATACACTTTTTCGCATTAGCTACAAACAATCGTTTTTAGTTTGAACTTATAATAACAACTGTTCGACTTTGTACTACTTAATCACAGTTGTTTCGAAACTCTTTTAAAACTAACTAATCATGATGATCGAATAAATCGAATTCCAGTAAATGTCATTATGGGAAATAACAGAAATGTTGGATAATCTCAATTTCTTTTCTTATTAAGCATCAAGCTAAGTAATGATTTTTTTTTTTCATTGCGTACTGTGTTAGGTGAAACGGCTTTGGCCATTGCTCGAGAACACGATGTATTTGACAACTTTGTGTCTGATTTTCGACATTATTCCTCAGACATATACTAAAAAATGGATGTTAAACTTTGAAACTTAGAGACTTACATTCAACTTTGAAAACTGTTGTGGTACTGACGCCCGATCCAGCACTGTTTCCACTACTTAAGCATGTGTAATTGGCGTTATCCCTGTTACGGTCAAGACTGCCTTCCGGCCAGGCCGACATGTTCCACTGAAGGGTGCTTACAAGAGAGGTAAAATATCCAGTAGACACGTCCTCTGGCAAAATCATTGTTTTGATTAAATAAAAATCAGAATCTACTATGCTTGTTCTATTCCTACGCCATTCTATTTGACAGAGTGGCTCACATTCGATTCTACAAGATAAGCTGATATTTGTAGCGTCCGAGGGAGCTCCATACATATCCGGCAATGGATTAATCACTGCAGGGGGTGCTGAAAAAATAACTTCAGGTTGTTTAGTAAGAAAATAAAATATAATTGTTGCCACAGTGAACAAGAATATAAGATTTTCTAAAATCACTTTATCAAGTATGTTCACAAAACGCTTATAATTTATTTTACACGTATTTTTGTCTGAAAACATTATTAAAAAAAAGTCCATGCATTGATTCAATTCCTCTTAATAATATTTTACCCTGTCATTCATGGAAAAATGTTATTCGCCGAAAAAATAATTACATTTGAGATAAAAACTGAAAATTATATAAATGCGTGTAATATAAAAGTTTAAAAATAATCTGCTTTCAAAGTGTTTGTAAATTCTGGAAAGGCTAAATTTAGTTATAATTATTTTATCGCTACTTCAATTTGTGGATGGTAATTGAGTGTCAACTGCACAGCCTAACCGTTCAGATTTTAAAAGAACGGTTGTTTTTGACACATTATGTTTTAAAGCAGTTAATTCTGGTAGTTAAAACATCTACTACCAAGAGACTATTGTAAGTCCTCTAACTGTTTACCATTAACAAAAAAGGCGGTATAAAGAAGGGTGTTTCTGTGACTAGTGATAATAGCATAAATTTCTATGACAGAATCATATGGCTAAGTTAATTGATGCACTACAACCAATAACGCAAAGCTAGGGAAGTACAGATTGGATTTATAATTACACTTGAACATCAGTTCAGTATACATAATTTTCTCCTCTCCTCCATAAAAACTAAAAAAAAGGAACAGCTAGATAATCCACAAACTTGAAGACAACATCGTCACATATGTTAAGTGTGTTTCTAGAAACAGGAAAAATAAAAAGTCAATAACATTAAACGTTTTTGGAAAAGGATAACATTATTCCTATCCGTAACAGGCCTCATTTAATTACATAATTTCTTAAAGGATGTAATATTATTCTGATATATAAAAGGCAAAATAAGCTATGAAAATAAATATGTGGGTTTTCGTACGTTTTTCATTATTAACTTACGCTTATGCTCATGATAGGTGATTTTACAAAAAAAAAATCCTTAGGTATTTAAGTTATAGATAGTAAGAAAAAGAAAGCTGAAGATAATCTGTGACTGACCTTTAGGTGATAGATAAAACTCCCCCTTTGGACCAGTACCAACAAAGTTCACAGCAGAGCACATGTATTTTCCCCTCGTATCAAGACCCGTGGATTCAACAGTCAGGTTATGAGTAGTGTCATGGAGAACTTCATCAAGATATTCCCATCGAAACACTGAAGCTGGTGGACGACCCAAGTCTTCCACCTCACATTCTAATGTGATTGGATGACCTTTTACTGCTGTAGTACTTTCTTTTACAACAGCTGGTCCTGGGAGGTCTGTAATATATAAATGAGAGAAATCCTGTTGTTATAATAGTAATGTTAAATTAACGTTAGCAAGTATGGCTGTTTGGTTTTATAAGAATGGCGTCAGGTAATTTTACCGTTGTTTCCATAACAGTAGAGTCACATTAACGTTACTGCTGTTTTCATAAGAAAAGCGTCAGATTAACGTTAATGTCGTTTTAATAAAAGCGGCAATTATATCAGATTAACGTTATTGCTGTTTTCACTTGACGCCACTGAAAACAGCAGTAACGCTAATTTGACTCCACTGTTATTAAAACGGCAGTAACATTAATCTAACGTAACTCTTATGAAAAAGTAGTAACGCTATCTGACGTCACTTTTATGAAAACAGCAATAACGTTAATTTGATATCATCTTTATGAAAACAACAGTAACGTTAATTTGAGGTCATTCTTATTAACATTGGCAAGTAAATTACTTCGATAGGAATTATACCAATATGAAGACATTTTGTTCTACAAAAGTGAAAGAAAACGTATTTTTGATGCCGAGAGGACCTTCTATACAAAATTGGTTTGCTGTCATAGCAAACAAAACATTTCTATATTAAATAATCCTTCCACTCTTTCCATATTCCAAAAGAAAAAAAAATAACATTTGTTCGTTTATCTTGAGGATGAATATAATATTTTTTTACCTCCAGCTATCATTTTCTATTTACAAACTGGGATATTTTGAATAATAATACCCACGACAAAGGAGATATTATTTAAATGATTTCTTACCGCGTTATCAATTAGATGTAAATAGCTTTGTAAAAATGAACCAGTTAGCTAGGTAATGAACCAATAAGATATTTGATTCTACTTTTTTTTGTAACAATTTACTGCTGAGATGTAGAGCGCTGATGTTGTTCACTAATGATGTATTACAATGGTGTTGTTCAACAAAGATGCTGCCAAGATGTATAATATTGATGTTGTTTGTGGGATAGACTACACAGGTGTATAGTACTGACGTAAAAATATTATCCACACACAAACAGTGATGTCTTTTATAAAATATACCATGACGATATACAATATTGATGTTTTCTTATAAAAGCTGCTAACCAGATTTTATGCAATAGTGGGATTATTTATTTCTTATCTAGAATTACTTATTATGAGATAGGTCTTTTATTAACCTTCACTGACCTTAACCTTATTTATTAACCTTTTATTAACCTTCACTGACTAGCTACTATAGCGCTAAAGAAGATAGTTCTCTACTGTCATCAACAAAATTAAGTTTGTTTGTGGATTAGTTCAATTCTAAACATTAGTTAGCTTAACTAGCTTTTGTTATTCTAATCCAGAGCTTATACACAGCAGTAGCATACTATTTTCTTCCCTTAATTAAAACGTTAGCCCGGAGAGGAAATATAAGTTTTCATTTATTAAACTAAATCATTGCCTTCTTCTACATTTATTTAGTCATAAGTTTTCATGTATTGTATATTTATATGTTCTACGAAACTTTATGCAGCAAGGATATTTTCAAACTAAGGTGCTTTTGTAAAATAACTCGAATAACTTTTGATGCACACTTTGTTTGTTCGTAGTTATGCACAAAGCTACACAATGAGCTATCTGTGCTCTGTCACCATGAGTATCGAAACCCGGTTTCTAGCGTTGTAAGTCCGCAGACATACCGCTGTGCCACTTGGGGGCTTGATGCACAGATTTGTTATTCTTACAGTTTATGTGCTCGTGGAAATTACGCAGAATTTGTCTTGGGCTATTTGCAAATAACTTTATCTGCTGCATAGCCCTTTATTTATTGTTTTCCTCATGAGATCTTGAAATGAGATGCCTAAGTGGCTAATGACCACATGGGAAGTTACAGGTATTCATTACGAAATATACTTCGTATGATAAACCTACATATCAATATTAAGTGTTCGTGGATTTCCCAAAACTAGAGCTGCGAAAATAGTACGGTATAAATATACTTATATATTTTCATGTATGTGTGTGTGTTTTTCGGCATTTATTTCAGTTTTCATTGGGACTGCGGATAGATATATGTGTGTGCGTCATGCGACGTACAAGTTTAACGGATACTGTCAATCATCAAAGGTATCCGTGCACCACGCGGCGTTTAAGGGCACTTTCGTTTTGTATCGGCTTCATGTAGTACTATGTTGAAATGGATACCAAATACAAACCCCTTCGTTCAATTACTTATTCATTTAAACTCAATATCTGGGGGGGGGGGGACACGTGTGTTCCACTAATAAACTCCACCGACATTTATTCGAGTATTTTCTCACAATAACTTGTGATATTAAGAAATTGGAAAGTCAGGCGGATAACTTTGCCTTATCATTAATACGGTAATACGGCCCGGCATGGCCAGGTGGTTAGGGCGCTCGACTCGCAATCTGAGGGTCGCGGGTTCGAATCCCCGTCCCACCAAACATGCTCGCCCTTTCAGCCGTGGGGCGTTATAATGTGGCGGTCAATCTCACTATTCGTTGGTAAAAAGAGAAACCCAAGAGTTGAGGTGGGTGGTGATGACTAGCTGCCTTCCCTTTAGTCTTACAATGCTAAATTAAGGACGGCTAGTGCAAATAGCCCTCGTGTAGTCACAAAAAAGCTACGAGAAGGATAGGCCTAGAGCCCAGTCACTCTCGAAACTTAGTACCCAAAAAACAAGCTATGAGACAAGTGTAAAAAAATTAAGTAAAAAATTTAGGAAGTAGGACTGGAAGCACCAAAAAGTAAGGAAACAGGGTAGGGAATAGGCGGTGAAACATTACAACATTTCGTAGTTTTTGACACGGTGCAGCCTCAAAGTGGATGTGACCATCGTTCTGGCAATTCGTACTTTGTGTTTTACTTTTAAATTTGATCCAATTATAGACTTTAATTGAGTTTTATCAGTAGCTATTCCTTTCTATGCACTCAAAGAATTTGAAAATTTCAAAAATCAGTGGTTTGAGTACTATTCTTTTGGCCCATCCCTTACCAGTCTGACAGCTATAATGTCTCCAATAAGCAAAGTATGACTATTTGAGCTTCCTTTCAAACGCCCCACTTATCTTATGATGTTATTGCATTTCGTTAGGGCCACGTGTTTTGATTACATACATGTATCTGCACTTGGTTGCTGAAACAAGATTTACAACAGATACATTTAGCAATATATACCTTTCATTTAGTTTGAACAATTACCAACTTACACAAAGTAAAACACAAAATAGGAATGGGCAGAACGATGATCACCCTCACTTCGTAGTTGTACTGTGCCAAAAACTACCAAGTGTTTTAATATTATTACGCCCCTTCCTACCTTGTTTCCTTATTTTTTGGTGTTCCCATTCCTACTTCCTAATTTTTTTACCTTGTATAAATACAAATACATACAGTAATGTGAAGATATATTATAGCACCTCAATAACCGTCATTTTTAAAATTTTACACATAAGATAATTACTGGTGTGCTATGAAAATTAACTTTACAGGATACTATTTCAAAATTAGTACACAGAAAATGTCTTTAAGTTTCTTTAATGATAATATTTATGTGGTCACCTTTGGCCTCCATAAAGGCTTAACATCTTTGTGGTATTGTATCTATGTTTCTTCTCAAAGTCTCTGTCACCTGATCCCCCTTTTTTCGAAACTATATCTAGAGGCTTTCTTTTCTATAATTTTTCAATGGTGTACTCCAGTAACCACCAGATTTGTTCAATAGTCTTAAGGTTTGGACTTTGAAGCGGCCATCCACATCACTATTGATCTGAGGTTTCTTCGTTTGCTAAATAAACTTGACCTTTCTGGGAGTGTATTTAAGGCCATTATCTTCTTCAAATATGAAATTCTGTCCAAACATTTTCTTTCCAGAAGAACTGCATGACGGACTAATATATTTTGGTATTGATGCTGAACAATGGCTCCATCAATTTTATAAAGATGGCCAATATTATTCGCATATTCGTAGATATTGCACTCCAAACCATCACAGAGCCTCTCACATGTTTGAATCATGCCATATGTCACTCCTTCTGCAACCTTTCATTGACTCTTCGGCGAACATAGACACGCCAGTTAGAAATAAACAGTTCGTATTTGGACACGTCTATCTAAAGCACCTTGTTCCATTGTTTCAAAGACCAGGATATATGTTTTTTTTGCCAAACATATTTAACATCTCCTTCAGTTAGATTTCTTTTCTCCGTCCCCTGCCTTGACTGATGTTATAGGACTGGGTTTTATTGTATCTTATTTATGTGTACTTCATCGTACATACAGCACAGCCGAGTTATTTTGTGACTTTTTCCTAACTTTCAGCCAGCATAATGTAAATAATTGACTCTAGCTCTGTCTAATTGTGTTAATTCTCTTGTCTTAGCATTTTAATGGTAACATCGCCCTATATTAGCTGCATTTGATTTTTTTTTTTTCAAATAACACCTTGTACCTGCATGAAAAACTCAGAATGTGAAAATCTCAAGTTTTTATCAGTGATGACCGGTGTATAAACTAAAAGCAATCATGTGACAATGTTGCACCGCATTTGATTTTAGATTAGACATTTTGAACAACTTTTATAAGTCTATTGCACTTAATCAGTTGTGCTTCTTTTCTTTTGATATTTCAAATTAACTAAATGTGTAGCATATTAAAGCAATGGATCAAGTGAGAGAATCAATAATTTTCCCAACATTTTAAATTGCAATATTTCTATTTCATAAGCATAATAAATTAAACTACATGAGCAATGGGTTCTCTGACCCGACCGTTTAACCCATGTGTCGCATAAAGTGTTGCTCTGGTTCCACTTTGGATTAGCTCACTATCAGAACGTATTTTTCAAGCTTTTCGTTTCCTAGATTCCGGATGACTTTCCTTGTTCAAGGAGAATCCATCGTTAAGAAAAGAGAGTAGGTAATACATATTTAAGAGGTGATCAGTAGGAACCTTTATTCTACAATATATTTATCTATAACAGTTACTCGCCTCTTCCCGTGACTCGGCGATAAGTTAGTAGGCTTATAACGCTAAAACTTGGGTTTACATACCCGCTGTAGACACAGTACATATAGCACATTGTATAGCTTTGTGCACGGCAGCAAACAAACACAATTGTTCATGTGTATATTTAGACGTTTTACTGTGTAAGAACTAAAAAATTCACAATAAATATATTAGTAAATAATCCTCTCCTTCAAGAAATATTAGTCTGATAACATTAGTACTGTTTCTTCCTCTCCTTCAAGAAGTATTACTCTGATAACACCAGTATTGTTTCTTTGTGTGCTTCGGAGTTTTCAAGTATTGTCAACGTTCGGAATGTCATAACAGAGAGTGCATTAATTAACCCTTCAATATAGGATTTCCCAGTAATACATTCTAATAAACCCTTCAAAAGCTAGGTATCCATTGACTTACACGAAATTAACTTTGTTTTAGTAACCTCTTTAGTGTTAGTGCAAAGAATTATATAAGAAACAACTTTAAGTATATCATACGAAGTCCCTTTTATTTTTATTGGCATTGTGATATTAAATAAAATCAACACTATTATTTTTATCTTCATAGAAAATTCGGATTTCGTTGTTTCAAAAACTTCAACACTGTAAATCACATGCTTTGGGAGCTTCATCTATTGTTTTTATTTGTACTTTTGCCCTGTAGTAGATTAGACCTATAACAAGAGTGTAATTAATTGTAGTACACATGTCAAACGCTCGACGAAAACGTAAACCAGCAGGAAACTACTTACAATTCACTACAAGCTCCTTCGGCTCAGAACGTTCGCCCCATCCAGCGGTGTTCTCCCCATCACAAGTGAAATTAGCGGTGAAGTTCCTGCTTAGGTTCTGCCAAACAATCTCTTTTTCCGTAACCTCGTTCTGCATTTCGTCGTTTTTATACCATCGGACACGGAGAAGATTTTGCGGGTTTCCGTCTACAATATCGCACTTGAGAGAAACGCTTCCGTCGTTGCCTTCGTTGACAGTGGCGGGAAACACAGATGCCTGCACTGCAGGTGGGTCTTGGGGGGAAAATATAGTAAATACCATTAATATCAAAGGTTAAAAAACGAATTCACTTAACTATAATTAAAAATGAACATACTTTCGCTTGCGTGAGCAATAACAGAGTTACGAAATAAGTATTCGTGATTAATTAGGCAATTTAACTATAGAGCGACCAAGCAACTTATTTTTAAGCTCTACTTATACTTAATAAAGTCCTTTTTTTATTTCAATAACAGATTAGACCGTGAAAGGTGAGAAAATTACAGCTCACATTCTAGCACCAATTGTAGGATATAAAACTATTTAGTATCGATCCAGCTGTACATCACACGAAAATTAGAGTTGGCCGTGGAAATCAACGGTAACAGTGCAATAGAAATATTGATCTCCAGTTGAATGTTTAAACTTGTAATTTTCTTATATAACCACTGTGTGTTTTATGTTCTATAAAAATGAGATTATATACCAAATTTTCTAATCTTTATTTATAAACAAGGGCATTATAATAATAAAACCCTAGGAGATAATTACTTTGGACGTAAGCATGCTAAATAGACCAGATGCTAGTTTTTATATTTTAAAAAGAAGCGAGGTTTATGTACATAATCATATATTTTATTTTTATGTTTATTGTGCAATTTTAAGAATTTATTGTGGCATATAGTAAGTTGAAATTGTGCTATTGTTTGTAGTATAAATCTAAAGAAATATTTGACTCCTAATAATCATGATAATGTACATTGCTCGTGGTGAAACGTAGAAAATATAACTTATTGTGTACAGTGTGCACGAGAACAGTGCGACTATAGTCTGTAGAGAGAAAGTTATCATAAGGATAACTTACTGTTCGCTTTTTAACTGAGTAGATATGATAAGAGAGTTCGTAATCAAGACAGCAGTTGAGAGAATCGTTCTATTTTTTTGTAATTATAATTAAAATGTGAAATGCAAACTCAAGGGATTTACACATTTTGATAACAATGTTAGAAAAAAATTACCTTTACACTCCAGATAGTTATTAAAAAGCGTTTATTTTAACCGACGTTTCGACTTTACGGCTTTTTCAGGGGTGGTACATAAAACTGTTTTACCTGAAGAAACCGCAAAAGCGAAACGTCGGTTAAAATAAACGTTATCTTATAACTATCTGGAGTATAAAGGTAGCTATTTTTTTTAGCTTTATTATTAAAATTTAATGTACAATCACCATCGAACATTCCGCCGGAAAGCATTGACTGGCAATTTACAGCAACTTTAGATTAGCAAGTGGCATGTTACTGTCAGTTGTGTATTGCAGGTATCTAATAAAGATGTGGCTTGCACTTCCGCTGAATAAAGAATAACTGACACGTTGCCCCCCCCCCACCATTTTGAGTTCCAAAACTTTCAACCGTTCCGTATATGTTTAGTGATGTAATTGTTTTAGCACAAAATGTGCTATGTTAAGTTAACACTACCTTATCTCTTTTGATGTGTAATGCTTTAATTGTTTTAGCACAAAGATGTGTCATGTTAAGTTCATACTGCCTTATCTCTATTAATGTCTGGTGCTTTAATTGTTTTAGCACAAAGATGTGCCATGTTAGGTTAAAACTACTTTTAAAACTATCTCTATTAATTACTTGTCAAATTGCATTTCAACGGAAGTGAAACGGAATATGAAGATGTGACAGGAAAGAAACGTCACATCCACAGCTGGAATAAAGTCAATAAATTTAAAGAATTTAAAGCTTATAGTTTTTGTGTTTTTTTTATAAGCAAACAATTATATTTGGTCGCAGTCCCTTTCTAAAAGTAACTTCTTGTTTAAAAAGTTTAACATTATTCGTCGAATCCTGAAGAACTTGAGTGGCGGTTCCAAAGAAAACAACAGTTATGTAAGCCTATCAGTTCTTAGTGTAATGTACAAAACAATGAATATTTGTTTTGTTTTTTATTTTGTCAGCGCGTGGCCTACTTACTGGTGATCTAAACGCGCTACGCACTTTCAGCTGTTATAAGAGTGGCAGCCAATGTCGCTATTCAGTTATTATTAGCCGGTTCAGACGGCGATTGCTGCTAACCGATAGCTTCCATTCTTGTTCACAGTTTATAAGTAGACACAGCTACTCGTTAACTATACGGGTCTCTGACCTAGCCCACTGCGTGTATAAGGTGTCATTCAGTGAACAACAGAGCAGATAACCATCTAATGAACAAATGCGTTTAACTCAGGATAATTAATGTCAGATTTTAATAACCGCTTTAAATAATAAATAGTATGGTGATCATAATTCAGAATAATTTGAATTTATGTTTACTCTATTTTTTTGGCAGCTAACTTAAACTTGACTTTAATTGTTAATTTTTTGACAGATTCTATTCACAAAATGTTTACACTTCTAAAATAATAGAATGACTTCGAGTGAAGTGTTTGATTTTGTAGACTAACGGTTTTAAAGTCTTTGTTACAATGTTTTACACTTAGCAATACGTCGATTTTCATGAGGTTTCCTGTCAAAGTGTAGAATCGATAAGGTGTTAGCAGAAGTGTCCCAAGAGCTTTAAGTTCCTCGATAGATTGTTGCTGTTTCTTGTCGTTGATCGTCGCTGTGCTTACAGCGAATACTGTGCAATATTATGGAATTGTTCCTGTTTCTTGTTGTTGATCGTCGCTCTGCTTTCAGTACCGTGCAATATTATGGAATTGTTACTGTCTGTTGTTGCTTTTGATCGTCGCTATGCTTACAACGAAAACCGATCAATACTGTAGAATTGTTTTCCTTATTGTTGCTCGTTACTATCCTTACAACGAACATTGTACAATATTGTAGAATTATTACTTTTCTTGCTATTGGTCGTCTCTATCCTTAAAACGAACACCGAACAATACTGTAGAATTACTGCTTTTATTGCTGTTAATCGTCTCTATCCTTAAAACGAACACCGAACAATACTGTATAATTGTTTTTCTTATTGTTGCTCGTCACTATTTTTACAACTAACATTGTACAATATTGTAGAATTGTTACTTTTCTTGCTATTGGTCGTCTCTATCCTTAAAACGAACACCGAACAATACTGTAGAATTACTGCTTTTATTGCTGTTAATCGTCTCTATCCTTAAAACGAACACCGAACAATACTGTATAATTGTTTTTCTTATTGTTGCTCGTCACTATTTTTACAACTAACATTGTACAGTGTTGTAGAATTGTTACTTTTCTTGCTGTTGATCGGCAACAATTCTACAATATTGTATAATGTTCGTTGTAAGAATAGTGACGAGCAACAATAATAAAAACAATTCTACAGTATTGTTCGGTGTTCGTTTTAAAGGATAGAGACGATCAACAGCAAGAAAAGCAGCAATTCTACAGTATTGTTCGGTGTTCTTTTTAAGGATAGTGACGAGCAACAATAAGAAAAACAATTATACAGTATTGTTCGTGTTCGTTTTAAGGATAGAGATTTTCTTGCTATTGGTCGTCTCTATCCTTAAAACGAACACCGAACAATACTGTAGAATTGTTTTTCTTATTGTTGCTCGTCACTATCTTTACAACTAACATTGTACAGTGTTGTAGAATTGTTACTTTTCTTGCTGTTGGTCGTCTCTATCCTTAAAACGAACACCGAACAATACTGTAGAATTGCTGCTTTTCTTGCTATTGGTCGTCTCTATCCTTAAAACGAACACCGAACAATACTGTAGAATTGTTTTTCTTATTGTTGCTCGTCACTATCTTTACAACTAACATTGTACAGTATTGTAGAATTGTTGCTTTTCTTGCTGTTGATCGTCTTTATGCTTACAACGAACATTGTACAATATTGTAGAAACGGTCTTGGGGATTTTAAATTGATAAAATTTCTAGTTCGATTCATGAATAAGTAAAATGGTTTCCTACCGTAATATTTATAACCTGATTATAATATAATATAGAAAGAAATAAAACCTAGAAAGTGGTATACTTATAACCTGATTATAATATAATATAGAAAGAAATAAAACCCAGAAAGTGGTATATTTATAACCTGATTATAATATAATATAGAAAGAAATAAAACCCAGAAAGTGGTATAAACATTTATAACCTGATTATAATATGATATAAAAAGAAATAAAACCCAGAAAGTGGTATAAACATTTATAACCTGATTATAATATGATGTAGAAAGAAATAAAACCCAGAAAGTGGTATAAACATTTTGAATACTGCTTATCTATAATTTTCTCGAATATATATTTTTTTTTTATCTTTTAACTAAGGAACCAGTATAACAGTATCAATCGAGTTCATAAAATTTTCTTCGCAGGTTTACAAGTAATCGTTCAGAAAGAAAAAGAAATGAGCTAGTTGTTTAATATTTGATATTTTTGTTTTCTGTTTCTAATTTCCAAAGCTAGCAAACATGCACCCTGTTTTACATTTGCATACTTTATAGAGCTCGTTTAAATATAGAGGTTTTCTTATCTACACAACCTTGTATTACAGAAATCTCTCCAGTCTTTGGGATATTATTGCACCCAAGTAGTTTTGTAGATGGAAAACTGTATCTATTAATTTCAGCCTTTAGTACATATATTATTGCACTTAAGTGTTTTTGTTGATGGAAAACTGTATCTATTAACTTCAGCCTTTAGTACATTTTTAACGTTCGATATGCCTCTACATGTTTGTTTTTTCTCTTAACTTAAAGACACATTTTATAAAACACTTACACGTATAAAACTACAAAAAGCGCATATTTGTTACTAACGCAAACACTATAAAGTAAAAGATGTGTGTAAAAACTCTTCTTATATCTGTTGTTGCCATCTTTATTTTCTAGATAAGAAAGATAACTTATTGATCATTCATTCGCTCCCCCCCCCCTCGGTAGATCAGTGCTAAATATTAGAGCGTATAATACTAAAATTCTGGTTTTCATACCCGCGGAGAGCAGAACATAGATAACTCATTGTGCTGCTTTGCCCTTAACAACAATTCTATTC